TGTTTAATAGTCTTCTTCGATTTTGAAGCTTTTATTTCATTTGATGATAAATTCATCATATGAATCAGCATACCAATTATAAACTTCATTGATATTATCCTTTTTCTTCCACTGTTTATTTGAGGTTCTATTTCTTCAATAAGATCAAATACTTTAATAATTTTATTTATATCATTTCGAGATATTTTAATTCTATATTGATCATTAATTTCATAAGTAACTTTTTCTATATGGTATTTTCTGATAAAGACTGATTTTTTTTGGAATTTATACATATTGTTATAAAAATCAATGAGCTTGCAATCTCCTAAATTATAACTATGAACTAATCCACAATTAATACAAACAAATGAACCATCTATTAAATTCATATTTTCACAACATTTCTCTTCAAAAATTTCATTTTCTTTGATAATTCTATCACAAAAAGGACAATAACTTCTGCCATCCTCAAGTAATGCTGAATGAATATTATATTCACACATCTCTTATACTATGAATAAAATAAAAAATTGAAGCGTTTTAATTTGAAAACAAGATTAAGAGGAAGCCATTTTGATTCTGTTTTATGATTTTAATTTTTCCATAAAGTTTAAAAATTTCTGGATTTTTGGATTTTGTCATATCAGTTTACAGATTTATTCCAGATCATTTGTACAGATCAGTTTTACAGATTAGAGTTACATATTTTTCACGGATTATTTCAGATTTTTAGGCCCCAGGGTTGTTGGTCTATACCTCTCAATTACTATACTAGTTGCGTTGCTTACAGAGCGCTTAACAGAGATATGTTCCTACCTACAACTGATAATATTTTGGCTTCAATCTACATCGTTTCTAATTAGTTAGAAAAAATCTCCTTGATACCATTTACATATTCGTGAGTGGACAGTAGTGTAGCCTGCAGAACCTGCGTGATGTTTTTGCGCTTTCAAGTGAACGGACGCAAGAACGAGGTGAGCGCGAAGTGCGAACCACTCGCGAGGGGGAAGAGCACGAGAAAAATACCTTAATGCTCGCCTCGCGTTTGCCTTCTTTCACCTGAAAACGCAAATTAGCACTGCTATCTGCGGAGCCAGGGCAGGCGCGGATCTAGGGAAAATCCTGACCGTTTTACTGACACGAATCTAGGGGGGCTCAGGGGCATGCCCCCCCGGAAAATTTTTTAAATTTTAATTGCCCAAAGTGCCCTCTCCTGACTTCTGGAGTCAATCGGACAATATATTTGTAAGTTGCATTCTTCTTGGATGGAGCCTTGCAAACCTACGAATTATTTCATCAAAGTCAATGTCCATGTTGTAATGAATGTGCGGCAAGGCAAGTCCTGTCAATCTTTTCTGTGACATCGTGCCTCGTAAATATGTTTTTAGCCGCCTCAAAGCCGACACATTCCTTTCGCACTCGCATGTGGTAACTGGCAGGGTGGAAAAAATTTTGAAGCACTCTGTAATGTTAGGATACATTCCTGAATCGATCTCCTTTAAAGTTGTTGCCACAGTTGCTGGGACGGTACTAGGATCTCTTCGTTCCCACTTTCTTTGCCATAAAGTCATCTCGGCATCTAGGCTTAAAGGGGACGGCAACGAATCTTCATGAAACGTAGAAAACCGGTCAAAAGACGTCCTCCGCGTTTCTTTTGATGCCAGCAGCATTGAGGGAACAGCAAATAGGCACCGTACTGCTGTTTCTTGGTCACCACTACCAAATCGAGTTTCCAACTCGTTGATCAGATGGTCAACCAAATTTTGCCGCCGGCTTAGAACGTGTCTATGACCCTTTTCTATTTCCGGTATTAGGCACAAAAGAATCGATAAAAAAGGGCAAAACTATTTTCGCGATTCAACTCGCAGTTTACATTTATCAAAAATATTTGCAATGTAGATTTATTTATTTATTCGTTTTATATTCTGAAATTTCTGACCGTTTTCCGGAAAACGGTGGAAACCGGTATGGATCCGCGCCTGCAGGTGAATAAGGATTTATTGTCGAATAACAAATAAAATATTGTATTGTATTGTAAAACGCCAGTTCTGCAGGCTAACATCAGTGCAAAAAAATTGGTGTGAAATGTCCTTTTTTCAAGAGAAAAAGAGCATCAGAGCTCCCAACTGATATTATGACACATTTTCTCACACAAAAAGCCCCACCAGACAGAGAAGCCTCAAAGAGAAACCTCGTTTTGTTTATGTTCTGTGTAGCGGGAAATGAATGTTAATGTTCATATTCTTAGATCACTTAGGGTCGATTTTGGATTTTCTCTATACAACTTTTGTTTCGAACTTAGTCGAAGTTAGCCCAGTCGAAGTTAGCGCAGAATGACATCAAATAACGGATATCAGTTTGAATGTGATGCGGAAACGTACCTGACTAGAGCAATGCATGATCAACCGTGAACGCTAGATCGTTCTAGAAATTCCGATGTATCGGCAAACATTTTATGTATGGAAGGCAATTTTTGCTGATCGTGCTTCTATAGGTAGCAGTTATGCAATGTCTTGAACCTCAAAACAGGTATACAAGAGTGACAACTTAATCATGATCGTGCGTATGAACGCTTTATCACCAGAGGTGTGTCATTTTCAAGATAATATCAGTGTTGTGGATAAACCTGTTGCCATTGCCAGCAATGCGGAGTTCGAGACAAAAAACTGCTCTTCAAAAGATTTGACAACGCAAATCTATTTCAAGACAAAAGTAAATCTTAAAATATCGAGTTAGAAATAAAAGTGTTCCAACTATCTATTATGCTGTATATTGCTCACATGCCAATAGTAGATATTTTCCTATTTACCTCATCTAGTAAAATTTTTGCTTCTGCCTACATCAGGTGTATTTTATAAGTGGGAAAATATTTCCTTAATGTTGTTTACATGTTTGTGGGTGAATGTTATTGTGAAGAGCTTGGTGTATAATCCCCCATTTAAGAGATCAAGTGCACCAGAGCTCTTCTCTCGTCTTGCCAAGCATTTTCTCACATTAAAATCTGAAAACCCCGCAACATAGAGAAACTTCATTTTAATCATTTTTTTTCTGCCAAGCAGGGAATGGCCCATTTCTGAATTACCTGTAGCCTTCTTTTTTAAATGCGATTCCTGGTGCTCTTTCTTTCAAATGAGGTTAAGCTTTCATTCACATGCAAATTGAACTCATTTTCACGAGAACAGTTGAGCATTAGGCCTCGTTTTGAAAATGAGGCCAAAGGAAATGGCCTATTGATTGATGACGTTCATACTTTAGATCACGTGGGGTGGAGTTTGGGGGCTAAGGAGTCGTGTTGTAATGTCATTCGCTCGCGATAAACAACAGATGTCAGTTTAACTGTGTTGCTGAAACCAACTTGCTCGTGGGTCAGAATGCTTATAAAACATTCAACGAACCTAACGAGGACAAGGCTTGATCAACCGTGACGGTTAGGATCTTTCAAGAAATTCCAAATTACATGTTACGTAAAATCCATATTTTAGGGAATTATGGATGGCAATTTTTGCTGATAGTGCTTCTGTTATCAGCTTACTATGTAACCTCTTGAACTTAAGAAAAGGTATAAAAGAATGACAACTTAATCCTGCGCATGCGTATGGACGCTTTATCAGCAGAGGTCTGTCATTTTCAAGAAAATATCAATGTCGTGATATAAACCGGTTTGCTGTCGTTACCAGCGATGCTGAGTTCCAAAAAGCTGCTCTACAACAGATATTCGTAACAGACTGCTAATCTGGTTCTTTAAGTGTATAATTTTAATATGTAAACCTTTAAATGCCCTTCCTTCAATGTCGAAGTGGGTTTCCACATTGGTCTCGGACTATAAAATTACCTCTGTTACACAGGTATCAACGAACGCTTTTCATTCCACTAATTTATTCGTGTCTTTCTCGTTGCATGTTCCCACCAATCACGTAGCTCCTTTTTCTGCCTTTAAAAGCACACACAACCCACAATTCCTCTATTCGCTCCGACGAAGGGCTAACGCTCGAAACGTCAGCTTTTATAATCGTAACGGTGGCCAATTTACCATTTCAACTTTGTTGATATAATCAAATTATTTCGTTACCCTCACCGACGCAGCCCCAAACAGTTTCTTTAGAAACTATTAGCCTTTATTCATTTATAAAATTACCTCTAATGGTGTAAATCTGAAAAGAGCCCGTAGAACCACACTCATTTGATTCCGTAAGTTTTTCAATTTTCTGCGGTGCTGTACCAGTTGCCATACACTTGTTACTATTCTGAACTGCAAACAACCTGTAACCTGCCCTGACTGCAGCAGCTGCGCACTTTGAAATGAAGCTCTCACGCTGCGGAGAGTGACTTTCTTGCATGATAACATCAGATTTACTCAATACACGAGTGAAACGATTCGTTTTATCAAATTCGTAACATCCAACATTTTTGTGTCCTGAAAGAGTAAACAGCATGCAGAACCGTTCCCTGTTATGACTATAACTAGTCTACATACTAAACATATTAAAACGTCAGGCGTGGGCATCGACAGAAGGTTAAAACTTTAAACGATATTTA